AACTGTGTTAAGTTCCTTCTAACTAATCAATTCTTTTATGATGTCCATGCACTTTCTAAAATTTGAACAGCGTTTCACATTGTTACTGCATGCAGATTTATTCTGTCTCAGTTACCAAGAGTACATTTATTTTGTCAAGGAACATCCATTGTTTAATTGCTGGATTGATGGTGTAATCGTGTCCCTGCCCCTGAGGTTGATCTCATCAAAAACGTTATTGGCTTCACTTAAGCTTTAGTAGGGAGTGTGGTATCTTGTAAGGAAATAAAAAATGTCACCAGTAAATAGACTGGAAGGTGATCTAATGGTAAAAGAAAGGTGTGCATGTCTCCACAGTCAATAAAATTTGAGTTATAACAAAACAATTGAACTTTCTGACTTTGGCTATGTCTGAATTAAATGCATATTCTAGCCATCTTTTCCCACTTCTCTGCCTTCTTCCTCTTACTAAACAAAAAATACAAATGTCATTCTTTTCCAATTTATCAGACACTCGATTACTATGCTTTTAGTTCTGTCAGCCAGCACTGCCACTTCCAGAAGTTTCTAAATAAGGCACAATGTCTTCATTCATTGTTTAATTTGAGGATAGAAACCTTAATTATCCAGACTCTCTTGTGCATTTCAGATCTTTGTATGCTGCACCATATCAGGGTTACCATGATGACAGCAGCATCACCAGTGGGTCTAACAACTCCTTCTGTTCCCACCTCCTCAACCTATCCCAATTCAAACCACTCAATAGAAGGCTCAGCTACAAGTTGAGCCACCCTCTTCCCAGAGAGAAGAAACAGACTGTTTGCTGTCTATACATGTGTTATCTCTGTATTATTTTTTTCTATATAATTTAAAATGTAAAAGAAAGGCTTTAGTACTTAACAGTATTTGTTAACTGCTTCTTTTGAATACCTGAGAAAAATACTAGCGTTGTTATGGACTTGCCATATGAACTTAGTTTCAGGCTGAGCATTTCAAATCCAAAGTGAGTACATGTCCCTTATATACAAGCCATGTAGAGTTTTTTTTAAAACATGTTTCTTAATCAAATGGTAATATTTTCCTGTTTTTAAACATCAGAGGTTATGTATCCTAATTATTATGTGTCAAGATATTGTAGCCATTAAAGCTGTGACAACCCAGTTTTCAGGTGTCCATGGCCATATTAACCAGTTTAAAAGACTGTGTTCTTAGAAAAGCATGTTTGGGCAGTTGACTTCAATGCTGCAGTTTTTGGAGTGATTTACTAGTTTCGTTTGTTTGGTAAGGTGAAAACCGTGTCATACAGTTTGTTGTAGCACCACTAATAGCACAGCTGCACAGGTAGAAGTTGTGATTAGAAAACCTATGAAGAAATATAGTACTTATAAAGGACAAATGATCTTTCTCACTAAGTTTTAAAGGGCTAACAAGGAGTCTTGATATTGTTAAAGCCCAACTGTGCTTGAAACAAATGAGGCTATGTTCACATTACTGGCCTTAATGCTCAATTTCTCAATTTTTTAAAGACAGATTCAATCTTCTTGTGTTGCTATTTCACATACATAGTTGTGATATGTATCAGTCTCCACTGTATACACTGTAGCACTGGTATGACTCAGATTTAGGATCACATATGCAATTCACAAACATCTAATATTAAAAAAATCACTTTGGTGAAAAAAAATCAATTATGAGTCATTTGAAAAGATGATGTGAGAGATGGGAGATTTTTGGTTCTATACAGCACCATTTGGTTGTCAAGCCTGAGTATTATTTTTTCAGTTGCGCTCCTGAAATACTGAGCATGATACCAAGTTATTTGAATTACCAGCCTTCAATTTTCAAAGTGTGGTAATGGTGGTAAACCAGCAGGCATCTTCAAGGTTGGGAAAATACATTTAAACAATGTTATGCATGAATTCATTTAACACTCTCACTTTGGTTGAATGGCTGAATGAATGGATCAATTTGATAATAGTGGAAGTGAGGGCCTCAGGCCACATGACCTGCTTTGACAGTCTTAAGTTGCAAATTTAAGGACTTGAGACTTGCTTGACTAATGCTGGTAAAAGACTTGACTTTGACTTGGAATTTATGGCTTGAGACAACATAGACTTGAGACAGATGACTCAAAATTCCAACTTTTAAATAAAATATTTGCATTTTTCTAGATACTGAGAAGTTATGTTTTGTTTTTGAAACAACTGGGTGATTTCTAGTGCAATGTGCAGAAACCTAGCAACCTACCAGAACATGGCAGACCAGCAGAGGGAAACGCAGGTCACAGGATGCAGCTATGGAGGGTTCTACTCCAAAAATAATACAAGCCTTTGCTCTATTCTGTGTGGGGTTAATGGAGGTTCCTTTCACATTCCTGGGTTTAGTTACTTGGAAACTGATCAGATAAGGGGGAACCAAAAGTCCTGGACTGGTTTGAGCTAAGTGGAACTTTGTCTCAGGTCAGAGGTGAGAGAGGGGGTTGGGGCCTCTAGAGACAGGACGTGGGATCTCCATCTGATAAGGAGAGAGTGTGAAGGGAGCAGTTCTGCATGTGGCAGTCTTCTGGCTGCTCTCAATGCCTAGAATCAGTCTAATGTGTTAATTGATATTCGGAGTCCCTTAGAATAAAACATCACTTCCAAAATGTCTACTTTGGACTTGTGGACACTACATGGGCTCTTTAAGTACAACAGCATGTCAGATATGTGAGATTGCACAAGGCAAACTATTATCAGGTGTTTACCATGACACCTAGTAAACTGCTGTGATGGATTTATCTCAGAATTAAGGACAGTTGACATGATGAGCAAGAACTTTTTTATTTTCTGCAATGAGTTAAAAAAAAGCTTTTAAAACAGCACTCACTTTGTACTCTGTTTCTTGTAGATAGGGGACATATTTCTGATGCTGCCTAATGTCAGACAGACATGAAAAAACCATTACAATTTCATCAAAACATTCCAGATGAAAGAAATGTACAAAAAGTTTGTCATTGCAAGGAATCAACAAATACAAGAAAAGCCCATCTTCTGGGAAGTAGTGTCTGGAGTTAATACTGTGCAAAATTCATCTACTGTATAATATTGAACTGGCATTCATGTGGAATTAAGCAATGCTAAAAGATTAAAAAGAACTTTGAGCAAAGTCAGTGACAGATGAGGAATGATGTGAAAATAATTGATATTCCATAGTCTTTTAGTGTCCACATTTACATCAAACAGTCTAACAAAAACTTAAAGGCAGTTCAGGAATACAATTTCATATCTACAGAATCTGCATTTTAACAACCTAGCTATGTACACTGTACAGAGATTTAAACACAACATACATCTTTTCCAAAAAACAAAAAAAAAAGGAGCTGCATGCCTGAGTGGATCAGGCAGATTATAATAGAATACAGTGACTATCTGAAGCAGGCGGATGTGCCAGATCTCTGGAGGCCAGAGACCATTAGTGACTTGGATAAGGGTTTGACTTTAATCTACAGATGTGGTGAAGATGCATGAAGTAACAGAAAACACTGGAATGCAATGTCATTAAAAATGGGTCTGCCCGTCATGGACATTTTGGAATAATGGTGTGACAGGTGGGCATCAGCTGAGAGCACAAGGGGGATATTTACTAAACCTGTCACAAATCACCATCAGGTGTGGAAAACATTGCGGCACCGCGGTTTTTCATTTTGGCGGCATATTTACTAACATTGACGGTGTAAATGAGCCCAGCTGCAGCTGTGTTAATTTGAATGCACTTCAGCTGGTAAGGATATGCCTACTGCGCACAAGTGTACTGAGAGGGACAGGAGAAAAGAATGTGTTTACTGCAACTTAACTTGAGGAAATCAACAAAGCATGGCTGAAGCATGGTTTGACCTGAAAGCCTGTCCTTTGAACCTTTGAATAACCAACAAAGAAAACAATTATGATGACAGCCTGTAGGGTTTCTGAATATAGCACAAAATTTCATTCAAAACATCATGACAAGCCAACATCAAATCACTAGTGCAACACAGATAAAACAGTTCCACAAAACAAAATGACTGAAGCTAAGAGTGGCTGTGGTTGCTAACATACAACTTTACTAAAGAAAAAATATGACATTATTATAATTCTCAATTACGAGGTCTAGCAAAGTAGAGCATAGTATTATTTCAGAGCTCTGATATCACACTTGCATGAATTGGCATTAGCTTCTTAATTCATGTTTTACAATAACTGGCAGTCTTAAGTCCAGATCCCTTTCAAACAGTAGGGTAATATTAAATTAAATGTTTATCCAAGAAAGTGAAATTTAAATACTGTGTCATCTGGAGAGAAGTATGTCTGGTTGTGATCTTGAGATAACTGGACTTAAAATACATTAGCAAATACAGCAGCTCTTATTTTATGTCTCATGTCTGGTTTAAAAAGGAATGCTGTTAAATGCACTTCATAAATCATTTTTGAGAAATGGCTTTTAGAAATGTGGCCAAAACCATTTTTCATACTTATTTACCAGCAAGGTCAAACTATTTTACAAAGTCTGTACAAGCTTGGAGCGCTACAAAGTTTACAAATCTAAGGAGGTAAAAGGAAAATGGAGATTTGTGTCTTTTCTATAAAGAAGTGGTCCAGTGGGCTTCTGTGCAGGAGCAGGGAACCAAACAACCCTTTAATTTACATACGTGGTTGTCCCTTCTCTTTTTCTAATTTTCTCTACCACTTCTGTAAATTTTTGACCTGTTGTGAATTAGACCCTCTTATTCACATTCTCTATCCTGTGCTTTTCACATTACAAATGACTCCCTATTGGAAGAGAAAGGACACTTCTGTCTGTTCTGCACTGTGGGGACAGGACTGACAGCATGCTGATTTTGTCGTTTATGGTACTGCAAAAATTTAACACACATTTCTTAACAGTTGCATTAGAGGACAGTACTTAAACCAAGAGAAATTAGGTTTTCAATTCGTGGTTTTTAGGTCATTCTTATAGTATATTGTTCTGGTAGTACCGAGCAGCTGACAAAGCAAATCTTCCCCTGTGATAACATCAGTTTGTGCATCTCCTTCCATCTGCATTTATATTATATTCCATTTGACCCAATATACACCTCACACAGCCCTATACTGGTCAGTCACTCACACCTCAGTCTGCTGCTGTGAATCGGTGATGATGGTCACCCCACGACAAAGCTCGTCCATACTGTCAAAGTCACTGCCATGTTCAGAATCATCCAGCCCGCAAGTGGCTGACATGTCCGAGGCTGATGATGCACCAACAGACAATCGCATATTTTGTGACACAGAGTCATCAGTGTCCCCATTTCCTGGGGTTTCTCCACTTAGTGGAGTGCTGAAGTCCCCATGCAGCAGGTCCCCAAGTGGCAATTGGTGGGGAGGCAGGTATTGGCTGGGATGGAAGTGTGGCCTTCCATGCTGACACCCGGTACTGCCAGAACTCAGGGTGCTCTCCTTGGACACTGGTGGGTTGGCAGGCAGTGGCGTGTAGGGCTCAGGATAGTCCTCACCCGTTGACAGCAGAGGTGGCAGCTGATCTTGGCTCAAGAACTCCTCTTCGTGGGGAGGGGGGTAGTCGCTGTCAATGTCGTAGCCCCCCAAGTAGTAGTCTGACTCCAGTTCACGGGTGCTTCCTCCATGGCAGGGGGCTGAGCCTTCTACTTCATTGCCAGGACCTGCCTCGTATCCCGGTGCTTCTTCAATGTCTGACAGTCTGGTGTTTGGCATCCAGTCTGACGTATCCCAGTGATATGCTGGATAGTAGAAGAGGAGATGGTTAGTACCAATCTGCACTGTGAAAATGGTAAGAATCAACAGTCCCCATGCGGCTCAGCCAACAAACTGGTCTTCACCATGTGTAGCTGTGCAGCAGACATGCCTTCAGTGTGCTCCAGGCACCTTAGACTCACTAACATCAACAATACACATTAGGTGGTGAAGGTCAAGTACATGTCAAGGGCAGAAAACACATTAGGTCTTTGGAGGGAATGTGACATGCATAATAGGTACCTTTCAGGGTCAGGGTCACAAGTGTCACAGCATGCTGATGTCATCATAAACAATTGCAGCTCTTAAGCCATGCTGAAGGGCTTAAAAACAAATATTAACATTTGATCCTGAATGTTAGAGTACTCCAAATATGTGGGAGATTTTCCTGTTGGTCAGTGTAGCAAAAAAATCTGTCATCAGTGGGTTGCCGACTCTGATGCACCCTGCTAACATTTAGGCACCCCATGAAAATAGGTGCAGTAAATATTCCGCAACAAACAGCAAGACAACCCTCAGCAGAATATTAACAGTTGTTCTAATGTCATCTTATGGTTCCATTTTCCAAACAGGTGATCTTATGCAGTCCTACAGATAATGGGTGTTTCTCAAGTCTCTTATAAGGACCACTATTTTGATCAGAACGACTCCCATGTTAACCAAGGATATAGGAATGATCTTATAATAGAACTGAGAAACACCCAATGCCTGTTCTGCTTCAGAAGCTAGAACAGAAGTAGTGTGAGACTGTAGTTTAGCAATGGTTGGTGGTGGGGGATGGTTGGGTATCTGACTGTGAAATGGGTGACTACAGTTCACATGCTGTCTGTTACTAACAGTCAGAGTTAATTTCTTTTTAACCATGACCACAACCTCACCAACTTTAACCAAATGGTTTAAGTTGCCTAATCAACTTAACAAAACTGCAACCATAATAGTGGTAGATCAGTCATATTTTGGATCTTGCAGTATGGGCTTTTCTGGAAGGCAATGATAAACAATTTTGTTAGGTATGAGGGCTTGTTGGGCATGTCAGCGGCCAATTCAAGCAAAACATGGCTCAATTTCCTTTGGAGACTTTGGAAAGGGAGAGACTTGTTGACCCATTATAGCATAGTCTACAATAAAATGAAATTGATCCAATTTCGGTTATGCTAAGGTGTTAGCACTGAGCACTGGAGCCAACACTCTAGTGACTCTGAATGAATGATGATTTTCAGCTCAAGGTTTGACTGACCAAAAAGGCCATCTACCAAGAACTCCCTAGATTAATTTACTTGAAGGCAGATTTCATTTAAAACCAAATAGTGAGTGAAGTTAAATTGCAAGCAATGGCAAATCAAACAAAAAGAAACCCATGCATCAAAGCAGAACACAAACCATAGGAAGACTGAGACCATAACAGCCTAATCAAGCAACTGGTACAGCACCATCACTGGGATGGAGATAAAAATCCAAATAAAGAGGCACTGTGGGATGCAGAATGGTGACAGGCAAAAAGGGCAGGTGAATGGCAGGGTTTAGAGTGAATCCCCTGGGCTGATAAATCAGCATCCTGAGTGGTTCTGGTAAGGGGTGCAGGGTGGGACGTCACACCAAATCACACATACACACAACAAAGCTCTGAAATTGACTACTAACAAAGAATGGAATTTTGAAAGTATAGCTGAGTTTACACAGTGGAGAAAAGATACAGGAGGTAGACAAAATAATTTCAGTCAGAGAAGAGTAGCATGAGAAGACTTTTTTTGTTTTTAGATAGACTCTCAGCACACGACTAAGTTCCTGACAGATGACTGAGAAAATAAATCTCATGCCCATCTGCTTGTAGATGGTGTTTTGATGGTGGAGCAAGATGGAGGTTAGATGTTGGCTATAGATTCAGAGCTCCGACTATTGCACAGAAAGTGCAGCTAATTTTATGCTAACTGGCTTCCCTACAGAAGGATGAGAAAAGTGGTAGCTTTAGGAATTAAGCTGCTGTGTGGAGTTTTCTAAAGTTGTTTACATTCCTTGTGATACACCAAAGCTCACTGTATGACTCCATGGTCTGATTTTCCTTTCTCATTTTTTACACCTATGTCTAGTTGCTTGCAGCCTTCTGCTGGTGCATTATTACATTTTTTGATTCATTACTCTCACCAGTAGACTAATGGATTGGAGTGAAACCACTGACAAAACTTTGTATCACCTCACCCACATGTATCTGTACAAGAGCAAAAACATGGACCCACTCAAAAAAACTAGCTCCATGCTCATACTAGTGGTCAAAAACATGCCTTTTAATACCTTTGATATAGAAACCTAATCACACCAGAAACCGTCTCATGAAGATAGTAATGAAAACTGTGACTTAATGACTATTCCAGAGGCTAGTTGAACTACTGTAGCTGACACACTAACTTACATTCCAGTTCTAGTCACAGCATCCCTGCAAGATAGCTGGCAGCTAACTGCTAGTTCACAAGCTAACTAACTCAGTTGCTAGTCATTAAATGTCAACAAATGATACAGTTTGGTGCTGATGAACAGAAGGAATTTACTTGTCAAAGTTCACCAAATTTTAGCTAAATGCAAAAGATTTGACCTGATTTATTTCACCCCTGTGAGAAGATCTGAGAGTGCTGTGATTCCACAGAAATAAACCGATTTGTCTCAAAATCTCACAGTTTTAAATGCTACTGTGATGAGGCCATTAAGCTGTATGCCCATTGGACACACGCATTATGTTCTGGTCACAATAACAGACACTGTATCTAGTGCTCATTCACTTGGAGCCAGCTCTTTTCTCCTCTACACTTTCTTTGCTTAGCTGGTCTGTTTGATCTTTTGTGGCCAAAAAAAAAGTTGGGAGTTTGTAGTGGGAACATTAAGCAGGTTAGTGCGAGTGATGATTGAAGAAGCAGTGTAGTCTGGGAATATAACTCAAAACTAATCTTATCAATTTGATAGGCCATATTACATTGAATGCTAATTAACATCACTTATTAGCTATAAAGCATGCCTGCCAGTTAGCACTTATAGTTTGAATACAAAGTCATGCAGAAAAACTGCATGAGCTCCAGAGAAGCCCAAAGTTGTAAAATGCTGCCAAATGACACATACTCAAAATGACACACAAGCAGTCACCGAGCCCGTTCCACAGCCCAAAGTGTTTCTGTAATTATAGCCATGTAAAATTCTTGATATTTAAGTGGAGGTTTCTAATTATTTCAGTCCTGATTAACAGGGCTGCTGTTGTGACCCCACTAATTTTGTTATAGCTCACCTATCCCTCCCAGCATTTCCTTCTACTTCCCTGTAGATATTTTGGAACTCGTATGTAAAAATGTGAACAAGACGCTTATCATTTTATCCAAGATAAATCAATGATTGGCCAACAATAAATATGCAGGTTTTCATACCAACCAAAGCCTCAAGTCACTGATCTGAAGGGAGGTGAATTGAACTACTGAGGGGATCAGTTGGAATCAAAACATGCAGACTGCTGGCTCTCAGTGGAACATGGCTCGCTATCACAGCCTTTATAAAGACTATACTGAAAACTAGAGCTAGTGGAACAGAAGCTAACCTGGAAGTGGGTTGGACTGACTAACCACTGAATGTGAGAATGTCTGATAAAAGAAATATTTGAAAACATAAGTCTTGACATGTTGGGATCAAATCTATGTTCAGTTCCCAGAATTGTTCACTTACTGAGCGGTACAGTATGTAACACAAAGTGAGAGTGCCTTTGACTTAAGTATAAAACTGATATCTCTTTCAGCAGAGATACTGCAATGACAAGACTGAGATAAGAGAGTGGAAGAGTGAGAGGAGAGACACAAAGGGGATGAGACATGGTACCTTCACTTTCGATTGTGTCGACTGCATCATTAACCAGTCGAATGACCGTCACTATGGAGGCTTGTGGAAGGAAAAAAGGAGGAGATAAGGTTTGAAATACAATCATTCAAAGTGAAAAATACTCATGGTGTTGGTCAGGGGTGTCTCCTCATGCCTGTGGCATTGCTCATGACTGGTACTACAGTCAGTCCTGCATGTTGGGAGGATTACTTGGTCTCCCTCTGACACAGTCAGACTCCTTTCTGATTCTGATGTCTGGGGCAATTTGTACACAGTGTTCATCATATATATGGAGATAGTTTACACAAATAAAGAAGGAAGGAAAGAATGTAAAAAGAAAACAATATAAAAGCAAAAAGCCAACACTAGTACATTTCTTCTTGTTTTTGTCATTTAGTGCACACAATTTCTCGTCTAGTAACAGACAGCAGCCAAACTTTAGCAAGCACAGGAATGACAGTGGCAAAATTCACATATTTACTCTACTGATGATTGGGGAAAACAAAGCTGACATGTTGAATTATGATCATTCTGAAAAAGAAAAAAAATCAATTTTGTGGACTGCAAATAATGTTTTGTGAGAACAGCATGATGCAATGAAAATGAAACACAAAACCAAATACACAGCTCCAGCACAATGGCCACAACCAGCAACCACTCAAAACTCCTTAGGCTCAAAATGACTTTTGAGGAACCTGAACTATTCTTGGTGGGGGGTGGCTTACCATTGTCATCACAGGAGTCAGACTGAAAGGAGCTCAGTGACTGGACCTCTGAGTTGCTGCCTTTGTTGCTCCCTGAGAAACAGGTGACTTCTTCTCCCATGTCAACCATCTTACCTATGGGCAGAGGTCAGCTCGTCAGGAGGGCCAGATTCCAGAACAGACACAGGTGTACAAAAATATTTTTTGAAGCGTACTGCTCATGATACAACCCCAGATCAGAAAAAGTTGGGACGATATGTAAAATCAAAATTAAAACTGAAAATAGTGATGTGTAAATCATGTGTGTCCTGCATTACATTCAAAACAATACAGCAGCACATTATTTGATGTGACACCTCATCAAATTTCTTTGTTCAAAATAAACACTCACTTCAATCCTGATGCCTGCAACACATTCCAAACAAAAGAAGCACACACACACACACACACACACACACACACACACATCTGTAAAAGTTATCTTATTAAATCTTATGTGTTGTGCAATCTTTAGAAGTACAGGTTGTACTACTAAGTTTACTTATATTTACAGTAATTATACTGTATCATGAGGGTAACAGAATAAAAAAAAACGCAAAAGGCAAGTTTTAGAAGGTGACCGCCTATACAGTGAGGCTGTGGCTATTTCCTGTATAGAGTACATTTAAATGATTTGTTTTATCATCTTTTCCATCACTATTTTAGATATTAACTATATCAGTTAGGGCAAAGTTTGACATAACTGTATTTATTTCCTAATCACAATTATTACTGCAAACAGCAAATAATAGAATATTGAGCAGCCAAACAAGGGAGTGTTTTGCCCATTCCAACTTATTGTTGTAAAACTGCTCTTCTTTACAACAGTCACGCTTTACAGTGCAGCAGTGTTTAGGTGCATGTGACTGAGTTCTGACAACTGGAAAGATATATGGATCACTGTGCTCTGACAGTAGCAAATCTGTTATCTGATCTTCCGTTAAAGGGAGTTTTTCCTCCCCACTGTCGCCAAGTGCTTGCTCAAGGGGGATTTGTTGGGTTTTCCCTCTGTAATAATAGCGATAATAGTAAGGTCTAGACCTTACTTTGTAAAGTGTCCTGAGATGACTTTTGTTGTGATTTGGCACCATACAAATAAAATTTGATTTGATTTGATTTGATCTTTTATTTCTCAAAGAACAGATCAATGTACAAATATTCAGCTAGCAGCTTCTCATTGTTAGCCAAATGAAGCTTTCATCACTGCTTACAATGACAATGTCTCCAGTAGCCAATCACATCAGCTGTTGCTAATTAAATGAAAGCTTTCTGTTGTTGGGTTTGTGTGCATTCTGCAGCTTGTGTCTACAATAATAATTATTATTCAGCAGACACATGTTATTAAAGGACCGAAAACCTTGATCAGGACATCCCTTGTAAGGACTGAACTTCCATATTAAAAATGGTAACATTTTAAATTATGTTAAAGGTATGTCAAAGAATGTTGTGTTTAAGAGGAAAACAAAGAATATTGATGCATCTCCATCTAACATGAAAACAAACTGCATTATATTCAAGCAACTTATTTAAATGAGACAGTCAACTTATATTTTGCACTGCATTAGGTGCATCTAATGAACAAAGCTGGCCAGCTTCCAAAATGATTATTTAAGGGTACAAAGGCTCAATTAATTAGTATGATAATAACATTATTAGTCAATATTGCATAAATGTAGTATTTAGCAGCCACTGAAAAATGAAAACCGCTACTGGACTGCTGCTAACATTGCCCACTGAAGACACAAAAAGTAGTAGTCATTCAAAGTGTCACTCTGTGCTGCAATAAGTTGCCACTTTCATGGCAACTCTTCATCATTTGTTCTACAGCTTGGCATGCGTTACAGCATAACGTCTGTAGTTGGCGCTCAGCCTACACTCACAGGTACAGCACCCCATGTATGCACAAACTATAGCCCATTGGCCGCTATAATACTGCTGTACAGTACCTTCATGCAGATTTGATATAACTAGGAAGTGGAGGGAAATATTCTGAATTTTAATTCAAGAACAAAAAATGTTCATGACATCTTGCAGGGACAGTTGTTATTTTGATAATACATTTGTCTGTAATCTGATACCAAGTCAAAATAGCTCCATAATGCATGTATTAAGTACTCTATGGTACTCATATAAATATACTGAATCACCACAATATCACTTCATTGACCCTAACATGTTCTAACTTTAATAGATATTTGAAAAACAGCTATACTCACACTCACCCTCATCACTGTCCCATGGGCTCTTGCGTATGGAGTCACAGTCTGAGCGACAGGGCGACACTGGTGGTAGGTTGGGGGCCACGCTGCACACCACCACCCCTCTCCTCAAGGTTCCTGACAGGATCCTTGGGGACTCTGGATGAAAGGTGCTCATCTCTGTATGCTCCACACTGTGCCCATCTGCCATCTTCTCCAGTGTGGACCGTGGATCTCCTTGGAAACAGGGTGTATATGCCATGGGCCTCACAGGGACCTGTGGGGGTCCCATCATCCCACCCCCTCCCACCACGGTGGGTCCCAGTGCTGGCTCTGTGTACAGGTTGAGAGGGTCTCCTGGTGTGCAGTGTAGGGTCTTAAACTGAATACCGTTAGCCTTATTAAGGAGTGCTGCGGTAGCTGGGTCCTGGACTAGAGACAGGTTATTCCTCGAGTAATTCTTTTGGAAAACCTTCTTCCGAAAAGCAATGAAGAGGATGATGAGAGTGATGATGACAAAAAGCACCACAGTGATGCCAATCAACTCCTCTTTACCAACCACAGTGTGACCTGCTTGCATGTCGGGGACAACGACGGGCCGCAGGCTGCAGCGCTGGCCCACAAAGCCTGCTGTGCAGTTACAGTAGAAGGAGCCGTGAGTGTTGACACAGATGCCACCGTTCTCACACTCACCCTCTGGATTGCCGTGGTCACATTCATTCACATCTTCTTCACAGCTACAGGAGAATAGGATGGGAGAAAGAGGGGAAGAGACTGGTGTAAGGTAATGGTGTATGAATAACTTTAGATTGCTCCATTAACTGCTTCCAAAAGAGCATAAGATGTGAGAATAAGAAGAAATGCACTGAGGACCGACTGCAGATGAAGTAAACCCAGTGTGGGCTCAGTATGATTAAGATGCTGTGTGTGGAATATCAAGTTTACAGCATCATTTAGCTTTTAACAAATTCAAAGATTGGTGGAAGCTGAGTGGAAATAATTAGAACTGATGAAAGAGTTTGTTCTTGGTTTTGGAAAAAACTGTTTCTTAAAAGTCCATAACCTCAGTTACAAATTGTTACAGTAGTTGAATCATTACAAACTCCACAAAGCACCAAAACCTAATTTTAAACTTTTAAAGATCTCAGAGCTGTTGAAGATGCCAAATCTGTTGGATGCTGGATTTTCAACAAGTGTGTATGAAAGACAGTTTGAAAGTTTGCATTTAATGGAACAGTGTGTGGTGTGCATCCATATAAACAATGAAGTGATGAACTTCAGTGTAGCTCTGGAACAAAGTGATAGAGAATATACAGACATAGAGAATACTGTATATGGTACTGCCATGCCATGTGGAATAAAATGCTTTTTCCAATCTCAAAACTATAGCTGAAAGCAAGATTTTGCACAAATCTATGCAAGGGTTACCAGCTTGACAACTGATTTTGTAACTAAGTCTTAGATGAGCCCTTTGTCAAAGTTGAGTTTTTAGATCTTCATTGTTTTTCTTTATATTGTGCTCAAATACAGTAAAATTTTAAAGTTATGCTTAATCAAACCAATCAATCTAACGTACACACACAAAAACCAGGGCCTGCTAGTACTATTCTACTACAAGAATACTGGTTGGTCTTTGTGGGCATTAACTTAAAGGAAAAGTTCAACATTTTGATAAATATGCCTGTTGTTTTTCTTTCTGAGATGAGATGATGGGTATCAGTACAGAGCTAGAGTCAGAATGTGGGTACCCAAGCTTAGAATGAAATACTGTACACTTCTCTAATGCTCACAAATGGTCACATTGTATCTCATTTGTGCACTAACAGATCACTATTGCAGGGACTGTGTGCAACTTCCTGGGTCTTGTTGTTACAGTAAAGTGGCCAGGTTTGTTACTGCACCTGTACAGAGAGCAAAACCAGAATCTGTTCTTGCTGATCAAACCTGTAAATCTGTGCTACAGCTGGAACACTGCAAAGAAGTACTGGGTGGAGAGATACACTACTGTTCAAAGAAGACATACTGCAGCATGTTACTCTTGTTAAAACCACAAACTGTCATATCAACATTCCTGTATATTTAAACAACATTCTCATTTAAACAACACTACTACAGATGAACTGGTAACAGAGGCAGGTTAGCTGTTCCCCTATGTCTGGTCTTTATGCTAAGCTAGGCTGATCATCACTTGCAATCGAGCTCTGTACTTGACAAAAACATTGAACTGTTTTAAGTTTAAGTTTAAATTCATAATTCTGAGAAAAAAGTCAGAATTAAAAAAAAATGTATGCAGTGGCCCCAATACTCTTCTGTATTTCCCACAGCTGTCTCCTTTTTGTATACTCTACAGAATGGAGATAAAGTAATTATCTGAAGTTCAGGAGTGGGACCTCACCTGAACTACACCTCTTCCGCTTTCACACAATTTAACCCATTCAAACCTCTAGACTTCCACTTCTGCTTTTTACCACCCACCCCAGCTTTTTTGAAATGGGATTTCTTAGTGAGCAGTACAATCTAAATGCCATCACCTCTGATGTTTTATGGTGAAGGCAGAAACCTTAGAGGTAGATACCTCCAAACCTTGATAAATACATCCAAAACTATTTGCATGGAGAAATACTGCTAGAGTTGCTTAACAAGACATATTTTTCCAGAATGCAGATGAATTGGCCCTTTGTGTGTTTGGACTGAAACTCACATCGGGCCCTTGAAGCCTCTCCTACAACTGCAGAGGAAGGCACTGCCGATGGGTTTACACACGCCACCGTTCTGACAGGGATTGGGAACACATGCTGTTATCTCCATTTCACAGTGTCCTCCAGTGTACTGGGGGTTACAGCTGCATGAGAACCCTGGGGGACAGAAAGGAGGAAGAAACAGACTTCAATAATAATTCTGAACAATGGCCAAAACACCTTTGGGAAATCACAAGTACATCCACACAACATAATGGAAATACATATGTACACAATGCATACAAAGAATGTGGCTCTGATATGCACAAATGTGACAAAGCTCCCCAAACCAGATAAAATCACTGTTGAAAGTAAACACTGAGAATTAAAAATTTTTATTGTGTGTATAAAATACATCATAGACACACACTAATCTTTCCACAGTGCTGTGTAAAATGGTAACCGGCTGCGACAATGACCATGATTCTTTTCTCTTGAGGAACATGTGATATGTGGAGATTTTTACAGCAGTGGTCAGTGAGGCCTGCTGGTACTGTAGCCTTACAACAAACACACACACACCTCTGCTGGGAGCTCTGCGTATTGCTACTGCAGCTGATAACCTTCATTTTACCCACACTGTGTGGAGATTTCAAACATGAGCTGTTAATCCCAGCTCCTCAGCAATAACCTCTCATCCACATGAGATCTGGGCCCATATATATCAAGCTTCTAAGCATAGGAAATCACTCCTCAATGGGCAAGAATTCTCAGAATGACACATTTTTGGTCTTACTTTTAAGAGTATACAGTGGGTATGGAAAGTATTCAGACCCCCTTAAATTTTTCACTCTTTGTTACCATTTCTTCTGATCATCCCTGAGATGGTTCTACACCTTCATTTGAGTCCAGCTGTGTTTGATTATACTGATTGGACGTGATTAGGAAAGCCACACACCTGTCTATATAAGACCCTACAGCTCACAGTGCATGTCAGAGCAAATGAGAATCATGAGGTCAAAGGAACTGCCTGAAGAGCTGAGACAGAATTGTGGCAAGGCACAGATCTGGCCAAGGTTACAAAAAAATTTCTGCTCCACTTAAGGTTCCTAAGAGCACAGTGGCCTCCATAATCCTTAAATGGAAGACCGCAACCCGAATGCTACTGAATAGACACATGTAGGGCTGAAAATAGCAATTATAGTCAGAATTGATGAATCAATTAATGTTCTTTGCAACTAAGTAAATGATTAACTATAAAAATGACCATCAAAATTTCACAACAGAAATTCTTGGGATTTTTTTTTCTGATGTACCAACATATCTGTGCAGATTCTCAGTCATCCAGGTCATAGTAAACCGCAACCAAAATAACCTTGGAAATCAACTGGACTTGGATTTCTAGATCGAAGACGTTTCACCTCTCATCCAAGAGGCTTCATCAGTTCTGCCTGACTGGTGTTGAGTCGGAGATATTTATCCCCCTCGGTGTGGTTTCAGTCCTTAGAAGGCCAACAATGTCCATTAACGACTGAGTCGTTACAG